CTAAAATGCCAATTTTATAGGAACTGAATGGATTGACCACAATATGTGTAGATTTAAACCCTGTAAAACACGTATGGAACTGTCTTGGGAGGGCAACTGCAACTCACGTTGGCACTCCCAAAACTCTTCAGGACCAGAAAATAGCGTTGCTGCAGGACCGGCTGCTACAGAGACTCCTAAAGTCTCTCATTTCTGGTATGATGTCATGTTGTGAGAGCTATACGACAGTTAGAGGAGATCCTGTTAGCTTCTTTTTCTATAAGCCCTATTAGCTTCTTTTCTATTTAATCTCCTAAAGTCTATTTTAGACCTTTTTAGACCTACCTGTGCCAAAGAACCTTGCGCACTAACATGCGTATATGCAATGAGTGTGTCATGGTATACTTTTTGTATTATCTCAACCTGTATTCATTCAATATATATTATTATATGTATTATATCAACCTGTACTCAGATCAACCTGTATTAAATTTCGTTATGGAGATAATCAACCAAATGTGAAAATTCTTTCTAATTTTGATGCCATGGTACCGTCACAGTGAGTTTTAGCCAATAGAATTGAAGCTCGTGTTTCGAAGCTCAGAATTTCCATCGCGTGCTAAACATTTGAAAAACATTTGAAAATTAAAATGCTGCATCGGGAAACATATAAAAAATGCCTTTTTAATTTCTTCCTTTTCATTTACAAGTGTTAGTATTTTCTAATGCTTCTAAGCGATGTAACAGCATTCTAGTAATCGTATTGTATTGTTGTAATAACATTATTGTTTCATAACTTTTATTATAATAAAACTCCAGAATGATTGTGTTTTCTCTTTGTTATTGTAATTGTTCCTTTCTTAATCTCAAAGAAAGATCTGTCTTTTTTTTAGAAATTCTGTGCAGGAACGTGAGCACAGGTGCAGATAGAAGTTAGGCCAACATCTGTGCAGTACCACAGGTGATTCAGGCATTGCGGAACCTAGCTAACTGTTAACTTCCACCCCAAGTTTGAGAGAGATAGACTGGGGGCCGTCCGAGGTCTCCTACGGCTTTTTCCCTACCTCCAAACTGTCCAGAAGGCTTTTGGCTCTTAGCTCTTATTTCGAGTGCCCCCTGCCGCACAGACACTGTATACTCACAAACATCCATGCTTTCTTCGGGATTCGAAGCTGGGCCTAGCTTATCGGTACGGCAGTCAGCGTCACTAACCACTGTTCCGTCTGGGCGACAAACATCAAGAACAAAAATATAGTGATTACTTTTTAAGATGATATTCGAAGTTTACCTGAAAGTTTTACTTCCTCAGCTACAAAATATAGCATTTGATGGCCGTTAAAGTTTTGATAGCGTTTAAAATTCTGTTCTTAAAAAGTTCCATGCATTTTGACAGTTCTAAAACATTTTTCCATTAAAAATAATTTTCATAAAATATTTTAACTAATGTGGTATTTATGATGTAAACTATAGATACATTTAGATCACCATTTGACCAAATACACTCATGTCCATAAATTAAGGATAATGCAAAATCAGGCAAAGGAAGACTTAGAAGCAAAACAAATTTGACTTATTTGTAAAGTTTATTTATTAAACAAAAGGTAAAGAGCAAAAAAAAAAAAAAAAAAGATGCTATATGTTTGATTTTACTAAAAAAATTAGCGATTTTTTCTCCCTGGAGCAAATTACAATAAAAAAAAAAAAAAAAAAAAAAAAAAAAAAAACCTATTTGCAAAAAAACAATATTACATGGTTGGTATGATTGTTAATAAATTGTATGTCTCCCAGACGATGCAATATAGTCCGTACAACGCCCAGGCATGCTGAGTATCAAATTATCGATCTGATCTTGGGGGATATTATACCACTCAAAAAGCAATGCTCTCCGAAGTTCCTGTAGACATGTAGGAGGAGGTTGACGGGCTGCAAATCGTCGGCCAAGCATGTCCCACACGTGCTCTACTGAATTCAAGTCCGGTGAGAATGCTGGCCAGTCCAATACGGGTGATATCCTCCGATTGAAGGCATTCGCTTACAATGTTTGCACGGTGAGGACGGGCGTTGTCATCCATAAACACAAATTGTGCGCCCATGGCGCCCCGAAACAAACGTACATGTTGTTCCAGAACGACGTCCCGATAGATTTGGCTTGTCATGATCAACATGCAAGTCAGTTCTGGAACCCAGAATAATTACCCCAAACGAGCACTCCTGCCCCACCGTAACAGTGTCGTTCAAAGATGTTTTCTTGGTGGTAACGGGTACCTGGAACTCTCCATATGAAAGTCCGGCGAGAATCAGACTGCAAGCTAAACCTGGACTCGTCGGAAAACATCACACAAGCCCACTGATGCGGTGTCCACAATGCATGCTCTCTACTCCAGGCTAACCGCAGCCGACAGTGAGTTGCAGTAAGTGGAACGAATCTGACAGGTCTACGAGCATATAGACCAATCTCCCCTAAGCGTCTGTACATGGTCTGCCGTGAAATTGTCATACCAGTGGCTGAAGAGAGCTGACGAGACACGTCTGAGGCTGTGCTCTGCCTGTTTCTTTTGGCAGTAATTGCCAAATACCGGTCCTCATTCAGCGTTGTAACTCTGGGGCGACCTGTGCTGTAACGTCTATTCACATTACCATCATCTTGGAATCGTTGCCAAAGCCTGGAGATGACACTCTGAGTAGTTCCAAGTTTCGTCTGATACTTCCAGTTGAGTACGCCCACATTCCAGATGGCCGATAATTCTACCACGTAAAAAAGCATCCAAATACGTCCTTTGTGTCATAACTATTCGGTTATTACACTGAAATGCTTATAAAGCGCCTGCGAACAATTTTACTTTGTCTGTATTCCTTATATATTACTCTCTTACACTCTCGTCATTATGACGTAGCATCGGTGTCATCTGGTTCCTGAAATTTGCATATGGTTCTTGAAGATGTGTGTAGTGATTTTACAGATGATATATTTATTTTAGAGTTCGATTTCCACGTGACTCCGAATTATCCTTAATTTATGGACATGAGTGTACTTATCGAGGTGAAAGAAACTAACTTACCCCCATTTAATGAGTGTCAAGATACTAAATGTTATCTCTAAATTAAGGATTTCTCTTTATTCAAGTTGAAATATTTTGTGTCTTTTTAAAATACTAAAATGTATATTTGTGCTTACTTATATAGCTCTTTTAGATTTTTATACCCATACATACAGCACACGTATTAATATAATATGTATTTAAGATAGGATAATTTTTGATTTTTTTTTTTTTTTTTTTTTTTTTTTATGTGCATCGGTACAGTCCAACGAAAATAGTCGTTAAATAAGGTATAGTTAAATCTGGGTTGGATTTCTAACATAAAATTTGCTATTCGTAGAGGTATCTCTTGACAGTTATGTTTTGATACTTTTAACCGATACTTATTTAATAATTAATTTTTAATAACAAATTTATTTATAATTTTTGTTTTGTTTCAAAATTTCATTTTTGCTCTGTTTCTTTCAAAACCAGTTTCAGTTTCAAATTTGAAAATCTCTTTTTTAATGACCTTTAGGCTTCAGGCCCATAAGCGGTTGAACGGTAAGCAGTAGCTCGACCTGGGACCGAATCCCGGCGAACCGGCTGGCTGCATGGTGGTTTTCCCCATATGTAATATGAATACGAGCCAGTTTCCCTTAAAACGTAGGCATCCCTCCCTTTTGGCAGATAGCTCTCGAGTTGCTCGGCCTTAATCAAATCAATTAACTTAATCTAACCATTAAACGTCAAAGTTTTTAACAAGCACTACAAAATGCATAGGCAGCCTAACATTTCTCACTCCAAGGAAGTTGCCATTCTTGAAGAAACCAGATCAGCATCATTTTCGTATAGTTTACCAAAGCTAATATGTGCTGAAATATTTGGTGAAATATTTCAGAAATTCTCTAAGCTGATTGATTGAAAAACGAGAAAGAAATGTTATGGTGCTTCTTTCTTCCCCACGGGAATGATAGTAGTATTACATAAAATATATGGAAGAGAAACAAGCAGTTGTCAAATGTAAAGTTAGGCTAAAGATAAGCCTTAGATTGGCCTTAATTTTTCATAAAATTCTATGGTTGATTTTTGCCTAAATTCGTGTTTGAAACTGACAGCCTTCATTTCCATACATTTTAAATTCATTAACCGGTAATCTTGAAACTTCTGTTTTGGCATTAGAAGCGTTGACAGCGGAATCTTTCCGAAAGTACACTACGCTACCATATTCGCGTGACTTGGTTAATGCTGCCAATGGATGAGCATAAGATCTTTAATAAAATTCTTAAATGGCCTCACACTCAAAGCATTACTATTCGGCAAAGGGCGAAAGCTTTCGCTTTATCTTTTAAATCAAGTCTTTGTTTTGAACTGGGTTATATGATGCCGAATTTTTATCAAAATACCATTTACTTTATTGACAACTAATGAAGTACTCTTGTACCATGAGTATAACATTAAAGTTAAAAAAAAACAATTCAGTTAACATGCATTATTTCCAGTATATTATAGTAAATATCTAAGATTGTAGGCTATGTTTTCTTATTTTTTATTTTAGTTACATTAAATTTATATTTGAGAAAAACTGAGCAAATAATACTATGGAATCTTGCAGCGAGCACAAATCTATGCGTTTACGGTTCTCTGAGGACTGAAACAGAAGTGTCAAGCTAATGCATATCACATTAACATAAATGCAGCATGCGATAAACTATTAATGTGATTGCATTATTTGATTAAGGAAACGCACATTAAGGCTATCTAGAGCCATGGCAGTTTTGATTATCCTTTGGGATATGTGATAATGGAAACTGCACATGGTTTATACTCACGAACTAATAGCAAACTATTTTGTGTCAATAAGTTAATTCAAACGGTAGGCTGATTCTACTGCTCATCTAGCGAAAATACACAACCAGTGTTTTACTTGTTATTCAAATATTAAATGTTAGATTATTTACCATGCTAAACAAACTCTATAGAACGCATAATGCTCTTTACTAGGTTCAAGCTAAAAAAATACACTCTAAAGCATTGTAAACGTACTACATCCGGTACCACATAAGAGGTATCTACTTTAGGAGCCTGTTAGCAACTGACTGTTTATGTCCACCATCGCTGACGTCCAGGGGTCCAGGTCAATTCTCATCTAACATCCATCACCTGAGGCAGAGCATATGAGAAATATATGCCTTAGGAGAGGTGTCTTCGTGGAAGACATTCTGAGACTAATTGGCTGTTACTCATACATGAGGTAAGATATGAAAAATCTCATGAAATTAACCCGTTTAGAGGCGAAATTGAAGCAGAAAGAATTACTTATCTTCAGTGGGTTATATACATTCTGTCGTTCGTGAGCTGGCCAAGCATTTAAAAATGTTGTTTCAGTTTTTATAGTTTTTAACCTGATAAACTATTTGTTACTTAATAAAACGGAATTTAATAATCTTTTTAAATTCTATTTAATCATTTAAAAGAGAAGAAGAATCGAAGCGCAATTTGACTTTTAAAGCATTTTTAAATTCAGTTTTACATATATATGTCTCATATTTATATGTAACTACCATCTCAGACATTTGGATTAGAAACATAGTTTTAACAAAAATAAAATGCCCTAAGTGGAATGGTACTGACTTTATAAAAGGGTCAATACTATTTCACCAAGGGAATTTTATATAATTTGTAAAACGATGCAGTTGCGCAAAGTTTTATACCATAATAACTTGATACATATTCAATAATTCTTACATACGTCACATAATTCTTACATACATATCAGAATAATTCAATAATTCTTACATACGTCACCGAAATGTAAAAACGTGAGGCTGAAAGAATGTTTGCTTATTACGATCATTAATTCCTTGTTTTCTTTAATTTCCAATTTTCAGGGAATAGACATTCTCATTCTTTAAGATTTTTAATAATTTTTTAAAAATTAAAACAATATCTTGCTTAATTTGGTAATAAACGTGTCCTTTTTAAAATTTATATCTTTGTTTTATTATTTAATAATTTCTTAACTGATAAAATGTATAAATATTATATATATTACAGAATGTAATATAATAAACCTAATTCATGATATTTATATGGTGAAACTCCCCTAAGATGTTCATTCACAGTAGTATATGATTTTAGTTTCCAGTAGATAAATTCGCCATTGAGAGCATGATTATCAGTAGTCTTTAACATCGATGTTTATTAGCATTCTCATACACACGAATCACTTTCTAAAGTGGTCTCATAAGAGGTTTCATTCTAAATCTAATAAATAACTTTTGCAATTATTAAAAGGAGTTTGTAGCATATTGTACTGCTGGAACTTGGTACATAATAATCGCTTGCACGTTGCCTAACAGAAAGTTTCTCAATTTTATTATTAATTAAACCTGCCAGTTGATAGGGTGATAGACTTAATAGGTACTGATGGAGTGAAACATACTGTTTGTGTGTCTACGATAGTTATATTATTTAGCCACAAAAGGTAAGATTTATTTGTAACTTAAGATGGTTATTCTCTGCAAAGAGATCTGTGTCAGATAGGTTTTGAGGTTTTCCTTGTTCTGGTAAAAATGAATTAATCCAAAACTCTTAACAGACATGAAGCGAGTTGTCGCTACGTTTGAAGTAAACACAAAGTCAGAGAGAAGTTTACATAAACCTTTTTACTTAAACAGAATTTAAAAAATAAACGCACTTTCTTGTGCTAGCAAAATCAACCACAGCTCGTCTGATACAACTAAAGGAACAGTCAGTTTCAAGTTAAGACGTAGAATAGTAGTCAAAGGTTACAAATTTAAATCTGCTGGCTCAGTAACTCTACCGACGTATCAAATTCAAATGTCAGCAGCGATACAACGCTCAGTAGAATAATTGCCACTTAGCAGAGCTGGCAGGAAGGCTAGAAATAGCTCTGTTTTACAATATAAAAACCTTAGTTTAAATACCAGCTAACTCATCTACATTCTGGCGTGGAAACGAAAGAAGACATTATGCTAAAGGCTGAAATTATAAATAACTGCTTTTATATAATAACCTTACAAGGTACTCCACAAAGCCTGCTTTCCAAACTGCGTTGTGTAAATTAAATCTTCCTCAATGACAAAGCTAAAGATATCAATAGCTATGAAATAACTGAATTTAAGTAACAGTAAATTATAAGTCGAGCATTTAAAAAGGGAATATACCCTTCCTTCTCCTTTAAAGTGGCCTTGTTTGTTTAGTAATAATATAAGATTTGACATTAAATAAAGGAAAAACAACAACAACAAAAAAGACAGATTTTTTGATGAACGATGATTTTAAATTTACTGTTCAGTAACATGTTGAGTAAAGAAAGAAAATTCAGATTTAATTTTAAGAATAAACTGACTGGTAGGACCAGTATGTAGAATTTCTAATTGATAAGATACTTATCAAATTATAATTTTTTGCCATGAAAGAAAGATATTAGGCAAATGGTAATTGTTTTGGGAAACAAAATTATCTGATTTGGAAAAAAGTGAGACTAATTTCTTAATTTCAGTATACGAAAAATAGAATTCTGAAAATATTTTTTTTTCAAGACATTATAATATTTCTTTAACTTTAAAAATAGTAAAGTGATTTAAAGTTTAAAAACCGTCTCGAATTGTATTGTAGATGGAAGCTGCTAAATTTCTTAAATAAAAGGGAACACTTTACCCTTGCACCATAAATATTTTACCATTTCCTGAATTTAGTTACAATTACTCTATTGCTTAGTAAAAAACTTCTTTTGATAATAATAAAGATAATATAAATTAAATTTGTATTTTTGTGATCCACTAAAAAAATTCAGGGATGTAATTATACTACCGCTACTCTTTTAATCTACCTTTCTGTTTAGTTACTCTTTAATTAAAATAAAAAGGAGGAGATTAAACTCATAAACGATTCGGTTTCCTTCAAGTAAGTTTATTAGTTCCGTCTCTTCATTCTAATCAAAAACAATTAATTTACAAAATTTGACTAATTTTTTGTTGAAGTTTGTGTTATTTTCCACTTTATAAGTGTTTGAAGTAGATAACAGCAATTAACATATTTTTGTATAGTTATATTAGCAAATATAGGTTTGCTGCGCTTACGGATAGATATTGTAGTTGTGGTGGATAAAAATGGGTATTTTTGGAATATACTCCGAAGTACGCTGTGAGTAAGTTTGTGTTCGGTTATCGAATTATCTTTAGAAATAAGCTTGAATTTTGAACTATGCTTGAATTAATACAATTGCAGTGCTTTCACCTTTTCTTTTATAGAATATAGATTTTATGGACCTGATTAGTCGCTGTGAACTTGTTTGATAAAAAAGTGTTTTCTTGTAGAGCTGGTTTCCATATGCTCAGCAAATTTTATGTTATCTTCGTGTTATCTTCTCGTCTTGCTGAGCTAAATTGGAAATTTCAAGGACATTATTTTGCTGTATCAGAAGATATCAATATTCATGTTTTTTAAAGGAGCAATTTTGTTTCAATGTTTGGTTTACAACTGCATAAATCGGTATGTGAAATAAAATCTTTCAAAGATGGAATTATCAGTGGCCGAGCTAAATACTGGTAGGTCGACCCGACTTCAAATCCTGGCTAACAGGCTGGCTGCATAGGAGCTTTCGGGGTATTCGGCATGTGCAATATAGATACGAGTCGGTTCCCCTTAAAATGTCTTCCACGAAGGCATCCCTTTTCTCCCCCTAAGTAAGTATTAAGTAAGTATTCTTTCCGGGTTATCAGAATCAATGGCGATAAGTGAATGTTAGTTAGATTCGATTAACTATCTTTTAATTAAAAGAAGTAAAAAAAGTAAATGTATTATATGTGATGATACTCTCGTCGTTTCAATGCAGCGCTGAATCCCTTCACGGAATTTGTGCTTGGATAATTCTGAAATCTTTGAGAGGTATTAAACTAGGAATCGAGATTAGATATCAAAATCTCTGAAAGTTAGATTAGGTATGAAAACAGATAAGTTATTCCTATTACATTTTCTCGCAATTCTTTCTAATATGCTGAATACAGCTTCTTATCATTTCAAACTAAAGGCTAAACATTTCTCTGTATTCTTCCCTTGGGATAATGTCCATAATTCTTTGTACCACAGAACAACACTTTTAATGAGTCAAATCCTTGTCCATAAATATTTTCTTTGGCTTTAGGAAATCAGAAGTCACACGAAGTTAAATCTGGACTACAAGAAGGATAGCTAAATACCTGAATCCCTGAAACCATTAGAAATTACTCTATTCGTTTTTCTTTCTGCTGAGTGAGATATTGCGTTTTCATGATGGATTAAGTTTCTTCCCAGTACAGTTTCTGGTTTTTAATTCTTATTTCTTCAAGCATATTAGGCAAGTATTTTGTGATACACCATACTGTATCAGGTTCAGTGTTCCTCCTTACTTGCTTTGGGAACATTAAATGACCTGACTCGGAACAGGGAGCTTACTAAAGCTATGTTCAATAAATGTGGGAAGTAGACAAGATACACAGGAAGGGTATACGAAACCCTTTATTTTTCTCTCTTTACAATGATTTCCGGACTTCGGAATACAGAGACCAACCACTTGTGGTCTGAACGTAAGAATATAAAAATATTAACTAAATTCTAACTAAACTAACTTTGGATTAATAAACAAGTGTCTACTTGAAGATTGGCCGTATATTAACAGAAAGACCGTATGTAGTACAGAGAACTGTTAACACTACGATACGTTTAAAATTATCAAGAGGATTAAACCTCTGGCCTTGAAGGCAACCAGCAACCGAGTAAAACTGCTATGGCAAGCGGCCTGCTTCTAATCACTCCTTCCTCTCTCTTGCTTGGCAAAAAGCCACAACTTAAGTACTTGGCGTTCGCAAGACAAATTTGCATAAATAAGTTAAAGCTTTTAATCCTGGCCGGAAGTAGAAAATAAGAAGTGATAGTAAAGATTTAAAAATAAAATAAACGTTAGTAAAACTTAAGATCCTTACAACTGAAGTTACTGCTATTCTACTCGTAATATTGCAATTTTAATGTCCAACTAAAGATTATAAAAAGTATACTATTACAATTTCTATATTTTTCAATTGGAATTTCTGATTACTTTATCCTTTCTTGGCACTTGGTGGAGGATTTTCAACAGGGAAAACCCATAGCCCAGATAGGTGTTTGCTTTGGAATAAAACTTATATAGCCAAGATTCATCGCCTATTATGATGTTGAAAATTCCTTTTGAACTTCCTTCGTCAAATCTTT